CACTAATGTTGTATAGTCAGAATTGACGACGGTGATATCACTTATCTCTATAATCATGTACACATACTTATTCCCTACTTAGCAGAGCTGGGTCCATGTAGCCACAGTGTTTTTTTTTGTGGATGGAAGTGGGAAATGAAGCTGAAGCCTGTGCTACCAGAAAATCAGTGGCTCCAACTTTTAACCATCTAATTCTTTTTCCAGACTTATAATTTTTTCATACCTCATACAAATAACTTCATACAAATAAAATCCGCAGGCATCCTATAATTTTTTCAATTTTGATTTTCTTGTATGAAATTGAAGTTTCAATTTTACAATCTAAAAGTCCCTCTATAACACAGATTTAACTCTCGCATAACTGTATCTGAATTAATGTGTCATGGTAGTGCTCATACCAAAAAAAACGTCAGTTACTTCAAAGCTCAGAAGCGAAAAAAAAACCAGCAGATTTTGAGTCACATTTGATATATTGTAGCTCCAGAATTGGAGATAGAACCATAGTGATTTCAAATCAGCTTCCCATCCCTGTATCAAAACTTGAAAATTCACACAAGGATTTCCTGTGCGGAATAGAAAATACATTTAGTGCAAATATGCTGATTTAAAATTTAATTTTGCAGAAGCAGAAAGGAAACTCGAGATCATTGTGATTTCATGATCATAGCTGGCTCTGAAGAAATCCCAGTTCATAAGAATATTATATCTGTAGCATCTGATTATTTCAAAGCAATGCTGGCTCACAATGTGAGTTGTGTTTATACATTGTTGATGTTTATGTGATATCTCAATGGTTAACTGTTTGAGTTAACTCTTTCACAGTTGGCACTGTTACCCTTGTTAATGTAGTTTTAATCATTGGCATATCATACTTCAGAATGCTGAGACAGCGTCTGGTAAAGTGGAAATGAAAGAAGTTGATCCATTATCCCTGCAACAATGCATAGAATACATTTACACTGGTGAATTGTCTACTACTGATGAAAATGCTGAATCTTTGATGTTTGTGGCAGAATTACTACAGTTGAAAGGTGATGATATAAAATAGATCTCTCTTTCAGATTGTACCGAGGTTCACTCAATCCTCTTTGATTTAAATTAACTAGACAATCCTCCCCACAAATGGAGATATTTGGTTTGCCAGTGCCTGCATTTCTATTGTTATCCTAGCCAGTTCTCATTGCCCCCAGTTGCCATTTTTCACTGAATACAGACATGTTTATTTGTGATCTAATTCAGTTAATTTGTCATGTCACTATTTATCAATTTTCAAGTCAAACATGGTTGCTTTTACGTAAATGAAAAAAATTTATTTCAACGCTCGACTTCTATTTATGTGATTCGATGATTTCAATTAAAAGTTTCGGTGAATTAGGACGCTTTGCACAGAAGTTATGTTCGCTCTAGAACTTACATGGGCAAACTACGGTCCACAGGGCAAATTTCAATCTGACCCGCCTGATCCTGCCAGAATCAAACTAAAACCAAATTTTGATATTTTGGCTGATAATAGCTCAAGGAATTTGTTGAGATTGCGATTAAACTTAGTTTTGACACGAGGCTCATTGTATTCCACTTTTGCTTTTGGAACACTGTAAATATTGCTCATAAAATGTAAGTTTTTACGTCACACTTACATGGCCCCCCAGTCTAGATTGGCAAAATTTTTGGCACCCGGTCAAAAAATCTTGCTCACTTCTGCTCTAGAATATGTCCCAAACGGCATGGATTCTGTTGTTTTTTTCGATTCACCCTGTATTAATCCACTACATTACAAAGAAAGGCTACCAAATAGCAATATGTATAACAGTTTGTTTTATTATAACAGATGTCTGTGGAGGCATCGTTGATTTACTTGAAGAAAATCTCGAATCATCTGCAGAATCATTCTTTGTGACAAAAAGAATCGCAAACCTGCACAATTACAAAGAATTGATGCAAAAATGCGAGAAGTTCATGCTGGATAAATTTGAAGAAATTGCAGTTCTTGATGAGTTCAAGGAAATAGAGGAAAAGGAATTTGTTAGATTGATCAAGTCACAAGAAAACAAGGTCTTATTAGTGACTTGTTGAGGTTGTTTCATTCTGAATAAGACTCCAAACAAGTAGCCACTCATTCAGTGGGGAAAGGTTTTGGGCTCAAGCTGGCGAAAGTAAACTTTCCATGATACAAGCAGTCACCCGATCGTAGGGAACTACCTGGTTTGGAATGACGCACTGTTGTACTGTATTGCTTAGCCTACCTTATTTCCCACTTCGGTTAAGCTGATAGGATTGGCCTGCCTGTCCTTGAATGCCTGGTTTAGCCTGCTAAACACTGGTTTTATGTATCCAATGAATATTCAAGCAAGGACTTCCAATATTTTACGTGAATGCTGGGCATTTGTCAATGTAATAGTCTAATTAATAGATACAACTGAATATTCCCATGTTCTGCATTCCTTCTAGGCGTCTGAGAGTGTCAAGCTAGAGGCGTTGGTATCTTGGATAAAACATGAGCAAAGTAATCGCCAAAAACTGCTGAAGAAATTGAACAACTACATTGATTTGCATAAAGTACCTGTGACTTATAGAAGATTCCTTGTTGAAAACGAGGTCAGTTATATTCAAATTGATATATTAAAACCATTCATTATTGCTAGGATATTTGAATATTTTATTAGAATTTTAGCTAACTGATGACTGTGGACTTGAGGTTGGTAATATTGTTTTTTTTTAAACTACCGTGATTTAAAGCCGGAGTTGAAATCTTGAGATTTTTGGTGTCGGAAAATCAGCCTTGTATTGTTGATAATCAAAGTCAAAATTTTAGAATAAAACTCAAAAGAACGCTAAGTTTACTGAGCATTCACAACAAGGCGAAAGTTTTTGTTGCTCAAATTTGATTCTCGCAGGTAAAAAGTGATAGGAATTTTCTTCAACCCGAAGTCGGAATAGTTTTTAAAAGAGTTCAAGAGCGAATGTACCTTTAACAGTCCTACTAATGATTCGTCGACATCATTCTATATTTCTGCGAAAACAATTTTCTTTTCTTATATCATTCAACATTTATTGTAATACCATAACGCATTTTGGTTGTTCCAGCCGATGGTGAAGTCATGCCATGAATGCTCTCACACGCTATGCATCTCCATGTTGGACAGCTTAAACGCTGGTGCTTCAAATGTTCACTCTGCTGAAAATATAAAACAAGAAGGAAAAGAAGCAAGTAAGTTGAATTAGATGTACACAACACAAAATACCATTTGTTATCTGTAACTTTCGAACGATTACCAATTTTTGATTGGTTCTGTTTCGAACGATTCTATATTATATTCCATGTTGTTGTTTTCTTACACAGAGTTTCTTTCTTACAGTCGCAGTGTTTGATAAAAACTCGAAGAGTCTTCAATGCTTTGACCCACGGAATAATTCTTGGACCAAAATGCAGGTTGGCAACCTTCAACTCAGTTATATCAGTCTAATCATTCTATACCTCGAAAATTTTCTATGTTAGTCTCCATTCTTACTCCAGATGGTTAAAAAGTAATGCTAAGCTTATGTTTTTCTGCAATTGGATTGCAAGATGGGGTTTTTGTAGTCCGGTTCGGCCTATAGTATTGTTGCGTCACTTATTTTATTTCAACGAGAGACTGTGTTTGGCCATCATCTCATTGCTTTCCGCTTTTGATTTCCCCCCTCCAAGATAGACTAAAACTCAGCTACCTGACTTGTACTGTCTATCTCACTTCGGTATCGAAGTACGTAATATACATCACATGTAAATGGACAAGGCTTTATTACGACGATTATTTGAGCAGGATTTGATTCTCTTATCCCCGCAGTTCAAGCATCTGTGTTTACATTAAAGCAAACATTGCAATCTTGTTTATTAATATTTTCCAGAACATACCTGGATCAGAATTTGGCTTTTCTGCTGTGGCTCTTGGTGACTACATTTATATTCTCATGATTGATCAATCTGTCCATCGGCTGAAATATTCAGATCATGAAGCTACTTGGGAGAGAATGAATGATATGCTGTATAAGCATGGGACGTGTCCTACTGTTGCTGTTTTGTCTGGTAAGAATTGCTTCAAAATTCTTTTGCTAAACAATATCTTGTTACCTCTGCCAAACGGCTAGTAATTGAGTTTTTCAAATATCCTGTTGCTGTCTTGTTTGGAGTGAAGTTACCTCAAGAATTCTTAGTACTGGTCTGTTTAAGTATTTAATGAAAAACATATTTTAATAGCATTCGGTATCTAATTCCAGTTCAGCCGTGTATTGTAACTACATCACTTCATTGTGGGTGACCCAAAATTCAATTGAACGCTTTGTACACAAAATACTGATATTTTTTCTGATTTGTAAAACTTGTCACTAAATCAAAGTGTACAAATGCAAATTATATTTTCATATTAACACCATTGAAGAATTATAACACAATCTATCTGTGTAAGAAATGTTGTAGTTACGTAAGATCATATATTTGAGTTGAGGCAAAACAAGGGTAAATGCCAAGACAAAAATTGCCAAAATATTTAGGATTGAGTTACTTTGCTAAAACGCGCTTATCCGGAAGGCCAAAGGACTTGAGTTTAATATTCAACACACTAACACTCCTGTTTTAAGATTAGTAGTTAATTTGTGTTTGAATATATCCCATGAGAACTTTTCATTTTCTTTGTCGATGTTTTGTCTTCCATTTCTATTGTCTTATCTATTATTATGATATGGTTTATATTTGTATAAATATCACGAGCAGCGTTTGCTTTGCCTTAAGACAAATAGTTCTTTACTTTATCTTCTATTATTTTACAAGTATCATTTGCTTTCTATCATTGTTCTGTGATATAAATTGTTTACAGGAAACATCTACGTTGTTGGTCATTTCAATGCTTTCAGTAGGTTCGCAAAATCAGTTGAAAAGTTCGATCCATCAAGCAACAATTGGGAAAAAGTAAAAGGCAAAAATCTTAGTAGTCGTTATTCAACAGCACTGGGTGCTAGAGGTTAGAAGGTGTTGTTTAATAAATGCCATTTACGTTGAATTGGCACGAAACAGGCAGGCACACAACAGGGTAATAAATGGAATTGTCACTGGGCCATATAACCAACTTCAGAAATCTAGCTGGACCAATAAATGCTCTGCTTTACAGTAATAAAGGCCCCGGACAAGACGGCGAAGTATTTAACGCATCAAAACGAGCGTAAAACGTGTAATTTTACCCATGTGGGCGACTATTTAAACATAAACTGTCGGATTAACTCTTGATGCTTGATGGGGAAAAATCTAAGTGTTGACAAGGGCCAGACTAGATAGCTTTGCGGGCACTAAATAGCTTTGCCTGTTGCAAACCGCTGGTCTAAACCAAACAAGAAAAAATACCGTTTGTAACAGACCAGTAGGTCGTTTCGTATCAGTGGTTGCTTTCACAAAGTGTTTTTTTGAAGCAAACTTGCAATACACTTCGGTAACTAAAATATGATTGCCAACAGATATCGGATTTATCAGTTTGTCCTAAGTTTTCATCGAATACCAGAATGCAGAAAACACTTGAAAGTAATAATCCCTGTTTAATTCCAGGTTGTATATACAGCATTGGTGGAAGAGTACCAGGTCATCACACCAACCAAGTAGAAAGATTTGACCCAACATCATCAACTTGGTCATTTGTTGCATCCTTGAATGAGGCAAAGAGCTATGTTGCAGCTGTTGAAAATGAAGGAAATATATATGTTCTAGGTAGGTTGTGCATGTTGCTAAAAATGTAGGATACTCGAGAAAAAAATATTTAGTTTTATTAAAATAGCAATTATCCAGAAAATTTCAATGATTGTGCTTCAAGGTATCAAATGCAATGCAAACATGTTAAAGCATCGTCATGAACTACTAATATTCCAATAATGTTATTCTGCAAGATCGCAGAATTATTTTGTTATGTGACAAATCATGTTCAAATGTTTGTATACCTATATATTTACACGAATGCAAAGGTCAATCCAATTGCCAAGTAAACTGTAAACTCATAAATACATTTGGTACTGTTGCGCCCTTCTTACTGGGAATATTAACTAGTTAGTGGTTGGAATTCCGAGTGATATTCAGACATTCTGAATAGGTTCCAAAATCTTCAGTTCAGGCGAGTTAAATTTTCCGCATGCTATTTATCACTTTGCAGTTGTTACCTGCCATCATGTTAGTTCACTATTACCGTTTCATTTATTTATTGCTTTGTTCTGTATTGGTGGAGTTGTCAATAGATGGATAAACATTGATTTGTATCATTTAGACAATTGCAAGCAGATTCAAACAAACTGTTTATTCCATTCAGGTGGAAGCGCAAACGGTCACTTGACAACTGTTGAACGATATGATATTTCAACAAACGTGTGGTCCACAGTAACTCCCATGTTAACTCAACGTAGCTTCTTCAGTGCTTTTGTGATTGATTCAAATATCTACGCAATTGGAGGAAGGAACAGGTAGAGTTATTGGAATTTATCGCAACATAGTAGTGGGCATTAGTCTCTATTTCTGGAGATTTTGTTCCGAAATAACTATTCACAAATAAATATTTGTTCGCCTGTATTCCTCACTACAAGCTTAGAGCCAATCTAGCCAGAGTCTATCTATATTGTCGACGTTCACAGAAATAAACAGAAATCTTAATATTTTTGTGAATTTATTTATAACTTTGGATAGATAATCAAATTTGGTTTGAGCTTAACTTTTTGTTCAGATAGAAGAAGCAGTATATTCATATTGCTGCCTAGGTATTTTGAATCAAGAGTTTCCAACCTGTAGTATCCGGTCATTCATACTTTTTATCATATAAGGTCGAGTTAATATAGAAATTGAATATTTTTTTTCAATGAATAGCCTAGCAACCATTTGTCTTGCAGAACTGAAATAATCTTCTCTGTATTTTTCAGTTCACCAGAAAGCATGGAGAAGTTTGATTTCAAGAAGAATCAATGGGAGACGATTGACATGAAGAACATGAATCTGTGGATACTCGATGCAGTGAAGATTAATTTGAAGTGATTTGATTGTATATAACAGAGAACACAGTTCCTTGTGTTACCATTAAAGGACATGCTAGTAGATTATGTTTGCAATATTTTTTATGAAATTGTATAAGATACTTGACGTTTCATAGGTGCTTGTGTTACCACTGAGTGAATTTTGTATACTTCTATAATGAGCCCCTACATTACTTACTGTAAATAATTCATATAGTTGTCTTAAATATAATTCACATATGGCATTGGGATTTTCTTAGAACTGATGCAGAAGAAATTTCTTTTGAATGGTTTGGTTTTATTCAACACCCTATAATTGTTTGTATCATTTCTAAACGAATTCTAATCATAACACTGATATGTAGTCAGAAAATTTACGCCCTGGTAGAAAAATCTATTCTTGGTTGATGAACATTTCGGCTGCTTTTCTCAACGGCTAAAAAACAGAGTTTATAAACCTTACATCAGTCACGACTCCACAGCCCTGATTTAGCTTGCTTATCATTTAAAGTTAATTTTTGGCAAATCATAGTGGGATTCTATATCCTTGTTATGTGGAATTTGTCACCAATATCATAGGTCATTGGAAGCGAGTGTTATATATAGCCAGTGGTCAGTGAAAATTAAATTGATTTATTATTCCTATTCAGTTTTCAATGCCATTCGATATTATCGGGGTATGAAATATTGTCTTGTGCATTCTTTAAGCGGTTTCTTCATCAATTGAATTCACTTATCATTTCTTAATCAAAATCCGTGAATGAATTGCAATTTATAAATTAGCAGATGCCTTTTCCGCACAATATAATATATTCAATATAGTTTTGCTTTAAACAAACCTTTTCCAGTGCTATCTGTAAAATACTTATACAAAAAATTGCATTCATCTCTGTATGTATGGATGTTGTTGTTATTAAAGTTTATTTCTGCTTCCAATATATTCGATGATGATTAATTTTTTTTCATTTTTGCTGTATATTTTATCGCATATATGCAATCAATACTTTACTACCATGCATCTAACGCTGAATTCAATTCTTCACTTTTTATCTGTTTTGAAAATTCACTGCATTATCCGCCGCTCTGTCTTTTTAATCACATTGTTTGAATTGATTACGTTTGATGCATTCCAAATGTTTAAACCTTACATTGTGAGAGAACTTTATTAAATAAACTAACAAATTAATGAATTTATCCATTTCTCAAATTCCATGTCAATTTGGAGGATTGCTTTGGTTTTCAACGAAAATCTGTTCTTTGATATCAAGTGGGAATTTATTGCTGTTGAACCTGGAAAAGACGATTGCACTTTCAAAAAATTCGTTATCCTGACCAAAATTAAATTCATATTTATGAAGAAGAGGAATTCAGAATCAAAAATTTTACAAACTATTTACTTTTGTGAAAGTAAAATAATTTTGATCTTTAATTAATAAGCTTTCAAAATGAAAATAATATTTTAGCTCAGTCGTCTGGTTTATTCTCGGGGACGTTCGAAACTTTACTGAAAACTACCAAATAAACTCGAAATTAGGAAAACAAATGAATGTTTATAACCAAGCTTGGAATTCTGCCCCAATGTGAAATGCGACTGTTACATCGTCGTAATCTTACTGCTGATGTGTTTAATATCAAGTAAGTCGATCCAGAAAACAAGCTGCCACACGAACATATTCAAGTACATGCATAATACAGCAGGGATACGGCCTGTAATAAAATGTTCGATCATTCCCTGATCAAATATCGTGGAAGGGCTACTTATGAATATTGTCAATAAAATAAATATAATATATGCGGTATATGCAAGTAATCGCTGTTACTTTGAAAAACCTATGTGACTCCTATTTACATGGAGAAAGAAATTGACATACGTCCGTCTTTTGGTTTGTTTACGTCAGAATTTTAAAACTATTTCGTTTACGTCCGCTTCTTATTGGCCAATAAATGAGTAAGTACTGGCCATCATTGAAATCATATACAATTATGATGGAGCGTATGTGCGCCAGTAAACAGCTATGAGATACCGTGCAACTAAAGCTTTTGAAAAATTTATGGCATAAAATTTTTTTTCATTGGGCTACGCTAAAATACTTCATGACGCGAAGACGTGACAGTGATGATTACAAATCAAGTGTGAACTCAAGCGATAAATATCGACGAGAACGGTGAAGAAACCGAACTTTCATTGATACGTTTCGAATCATTGATATAAATTATGAGTCGAAATTTCATCCAAGTGGTTGTTTGGTTGACACAAGTTGCCGCATACCTGCCAAAGAATGCTCAAACAAAGGTCACCGTCACCCTATTTGCATAATAATTAGTCAAAAATGACTTATGTAGGTCTCAACAAGGAAGTATAAACAAAGACAATTAGTTCCACCGAGAAGCTAGAATATTTTAGGTGTTTGCACCATTTTCTCCCACTAACGAAAGTTTGTCAGAGAGAGAGTTTATTTCAACAAACGTAACTGCTGGTCCGCTACGGCTTCATCCGCGATTGAGTTCAAGCCTTCAGAGCAAATAGATGGCTATCTAATTTCTAACAGAGGCGGACTGGTAATCGTAAGATCACTCATATTATTGAGCAGTTTAAACGGCTTTCGTCTTCGACGGATAAAAATATTTGTTATGAGTCAATAACCTCGACTAACCCATGAGCGTTGACGCACCATGAAAAAAACACATACAACTGGTATGAAGCAAACAATATATTTTAAGGGAAAATAAATAAATTGCAATAAATATACAACTGACAAAAACCGTATGCAAATTTGTTAAACCAATAAATTATTTCCATACGCACAAACAGTTATTTTCCCGTGTAGGATGAATTTTGAATGCATGAAAAAATTCTGCTATTTTGTTATTTTTATAATATATTGTTATTATAACTCATTATATAACTCGGTGTTGAAGGTGTTGTTTTCCAAAATAAAAAAAATTGACTGTAATTGACTTAATTAAAAAATAATTCCATATTGGCTCTGGAATTTAATTTGGCAAAAAAAAAAAGTTGCAGGTGTTGTGTTCTCGTTGAGGGCCGCTTTGCTACTTCAAATTAAGACCGTGTCTTACTTATGGAGTGGAAGTGGTGACTCCTCTACGGCCCATGGGTCGGGGCCACGGCCCATTGGAATGGGCCTCGGCCCATCAATTTTTGTAAAGGGATAAAATAATAAAGACTAATAAATATGTAAATCCTACCCACTCCCCGAACTCATAATAGAACTAGGCCTATAATGTGAAAAATCTGAACAAAATTTTGTCCTAACCCTAACCTGGTACACATACTTCAGGTGTATCCTTTTCTGTAGCTTGGTATTTGCTTTATTTTTATGTAAAGGCTTATTGTAAGAAAAAGGTTTGGTGGCATACTGGCATCCTGCGATTTTTTTTTGGTTCGAATATAATTGAAAATTTTGGTAAGATAATTGAATTTTTCCTGATGGACCGCGGCCCATAGCTTGATGGGCCATGGCCCATGTGGCCCAATTAGATGAGCCGTGGCCCCGGCCCATGGGGCCGTAGAAGAGTCACCACCCCTGTAGTACTTATGGTCTCTTTAAAGTTTGTAATACTTGCTTTGTAGTCTACTGTACTGTATGACCCCTTTACCATGGAGTGCATTGTTTGCGCATTCTAGCATAGTCCAATCGCAATTCTGCAATTGTTCAGTTTGTACCGTTGAATAGGTACTGGTTCAGTACCTACCTGTATGGAACAGAACAACACAAAAAGTAAACAAACAACAAATACAGAAATTCCTGGAAGGCGAACATAACTTAAAATAAAGATAAAAAACGTACAAGTACGCGCCCGCCCACCAAAAAATAAAATAAGAATATTACAAGTATACAAAAGAATATGGACACGATTCAATATCGGGAAATGCTTATAACTCAATTTAAATGATAAAAGACACTTAATTCTGTAATTGCTGGAATCAGTGGATAATTTACATGGAGTAAGTGTTGCGCTTGAAATAAAACAGCAAAATTCAGTTAGATAAAATTAAATGTAATAGACTCCTAGCAATCTCCTCCATCTCTGATTGATGAAAACCTAATGATTCAAATGTTCGTATACGATTATGATAGCTGTGAAATCGCCAGGCATATATACAAATACAGCTGATCCCGAATGCTGTAAATTCTGGGTCTGGGATGTTTATTCGCCTCGTACAGATTTATACAACAGTATAATGGTACCGGTACCAAATTTTTTAGTATAGACAATTTTGCACGCAGAAGAAGAATTTAGAAATTTAAATGAAATTGATATAGACTATAAGTATAATGATAATATTAGTATATTATATTCTGTATATTTTGATTTTTCTTACTACTGTAAAAACAGAAGAACCACATATTTGATTGAATTGAAATTTGGAAAGTACAGTACTGAATGTTATTACTCTAGCATGATTGACAAAAGATAGAATTTATATATTTATTTCGGGGTAGAGGAGAGCCGATTGCAAGCCACAGCTTCTCGTCCAGTTACCAGTTCATGTCGGGTACCGGTATGGAATTGATTAGTCAGTTTGTTTCAGATGCGTGGACTTAGTGGAGGAGAAAGTTGAAGCAGAGTTATTTGAACCACCCTATTCCTGTATTCTGACTGAATTATATAGTTGCAATTGCTTGTTCTAGTTTCACTGAATTTAACAAATCTCAAATTACAGAATTGAAATCTATTCAATATTCCATACTATTGTTCTAAGCTATCAGCACTTATCCTTGTATAGAAAATATTTTCCTAAATTCGAGCTGTTAATTCTGCTTGAAATTGTCGGGGGAATTGTTACCGATTCACAGACAGATTGAAGTTTTGAATCTGGTTTAGTTGGATTCTAACTATTGAGGCATGACTGGTCAGAATATTCTCATTCTAATTTAAAGGTGATTGTGCTGCTATTTCTAACCTCTTGGTTTTTCATGTTAGGATAAGGTCAAATCCCGGTAAAGTTGACTAGCACTGAACAAGGCTGCTATTTCTACGATATTAACCTTTTGGTTTTTCATGTTAGGTCAAATTTTAGTAAAGTTGTCTATAACTGAACAAATCCAAAGTGTTTTAATCATATAGGAATCCATCTCAGCCTGTTCGTTAACCTATGGGTAGCGCGCTTGGGTCACCTGAAAATCAGCTCGGGTTGCTTGTTTTTTTTTTCAATAAAAGTAAAAATTGCCGGCTTGCCTCTTTCATTTTCTAGTAACTTCCATTTTCTAGTAGATATCATTGTTTAGTTTATATAAAGAATTTAGGTGTTATTCATTAGTAGATGTCGTTCATTAGATTTTGTTCATTCATGTGAGCATATCCTTGTGTTATAACATATTACAAATTTTTTTTTATATTGGGAACTACTGTATTAGAGTATGCTTAGCCTATCGGTTTTCCTGTAATTGTACGTTCTGTTGAAAATGGGACAAGTTAATTTAGGCAGGTTTCATTTCCTTGTGTCATTGCGACTCATATTTATCCATTTCACTGTTGTTTATGGAATTACTTTTACAAGACATTGTGACTCGACTTGAAACGCGACTTCTACTCGACATTGGTATTTACGTATTTGGTAATGGGAATCATTGAAGCATGACTGGTCAGAATAATCCCAATACTTATGTGTCAGAGTGCTGTTGCTGCAATTTTTTTCTATTTTTCAGAATCTAATCTTTAAAATTTAATAATGCTAGCTTTTGTGATATTTCGTATTCTCAATTTCATTGCTGCAAGTTTCTTCATTTTGTCAGCATTTGTACAATACAATGACCCAGATCCTGAGCTATGGATTCCAGTATATCTGGCTCCTGCTATCATTTCTGGATTAATTGGTTTTAGGCCGTCACTATCTGAATCAAAATTCATAAAAGTTTTTGACTTTGGATATATTTTCTTTGGAACTATTTTATCTGTGTATTTGTTTCATCAAAACTATCAGGATAATTTCATCCACTGGGTGGTGCATGATGAAGTAGGGAGGGAGTTTGGCGGACTTGTTATCGTTATATTTTGGATTATTTTTATGCACGAAACATCACATTTATCTGTAAAGAATTGGTTATCGTCGGTTTTTATATGGATTCCGATTGCAATGTGGATTTATCTTTGTAACAATCAGGAATATCGTAAACTTTGGCCTCAACAATGCCAGACTGCTCTTTATCCAGAAAGTTATCCTCCAAGAGAGAAAAGCTGATAAGACAATTTGACAAATATTATTATAAGAAAATTTCTCAAAGTAAGGTCATGCACACGAAGTCAAAAGCAAAAGAAGTCTTTTTAGATAAGTTACAGGCGAC